TTCTATAAATTCACAGAGCCGGTTATTCAGGATAGCAGAGAACACCTTGTAAACTGTACTTAACAAACGTATGCCTCTATAATTGAGAGGGACTCTAGGATCAGCTTGCGAGGACTTAGGAATAGGCTTTATAATAGATTTGTACCATCCTGATGGAATAATACCACTCTGAAAGCAATGTTTAAACAACCTGTACAGAGGATTCAACAACCTAGGACATCTGAGAACCTCATTAGACAATCCATCCAGTCCCACAGCGTTATGTGGTTTAATCTTTTCAATGACTTTCTTCACCTCCTCCAAAGTAATATCTCCATTTAACAAATCATTACAACAAGAAGGATAAAGATTTTCCTCAAGTAGTATTTTTGCACTACACATTTTTGTTAGAAACTGGTCATCAAACTCGTGGTAACTATTACAGGCAAACAGGTTTCTGTAATCTGTTTCCCACCGGTTTAAAACCTGATCAGTTTGGAATAAAGATTCCCCACTTTCAGTGACTATTTCAAATGGAATTGTCTTTTTTCTTTTAGGTCCAAGCTTATTGATTTCTCTCCAGAACTGTTGTGAGTTACTGCTTTGCAAGTGTTCCAACTGAAGGGCCTTCCCTCTCTTGTAACGTCTTTTATAAAATCTAAGTTTTTTATCAAAATTCATTTGGCAGCTTTTAAAGGTATTGTTTAACTCTCTCCTTAAAATCTGATCTTTACATTTCAAAAAGCTTTTCTCAGCCAAACGAAGACTCAACCACATAGACTGTAATTCATCATTCCAATACGGCTGCTTGATTTTGTATTTTCTTCCCTGCATTTTTATATTTGGTCTATATTTACTAATTTCTTTATCCAATAGTGTACAGAAACAGTCATAGCAATAGTTCAAATTTTCCTGCGTTTTCTCGCTGCTTTCTAATTGCTCTGTAATATTATTAAGAGTTGTATTACAGGCCTCAGAATCAAGAAAATTTCTATGCAACTTTCTTAATGGTCTTTTATTCTGCAGTACAAAACCGTTCCAGTTTCCTGGGCATGTTTCCCCTGTCTGAAAACGCAAATAAAGCACAGAGTGATCAGGAAGTCTACATCTGTCATCTATCATACTTATAATAGACTGCTCAGCTCTGTCCACTAGGTCATGTGGGGTAAAAACTCTAAATTCAACACATGTCTTCAGGTCCACATGTGGTACCACAATTTAATCAACCACTGCTTTACCCTTTACTGATATAGAAGTGAAATCATCCTTTGCAGGGCTTATCCTTCCATTCAGAATACAGCATTTGGAATATTTAAGAAAATGTACAAAACTTTCACCATGTTTATTCAAGACCGAGTCCAACCCAACTCTAGGGGGTATATCGTCTTCTTCAACAAAATCTTTAAGGTCCGCAATGCGACTGTTTAAATCTCCACATATATAAACTGAATCAGCATCTGCCGCATATATTAATGACAGTAAATGAGCATAGAAAAGATCAGCATTGCGACCCCATGTAGAATTTTCTGGAGACAGATAACAGGACATTATAATGAATGAATATTGTGACACCATATGCTCAAAGCGCACAGACAGAACGCCATCATATGTTTTATCAATAACTTTAATAGAGAAATTGTTCAGAAAACTATTTCTAACGAAAATACCCACACCACCAGACGCCCTTATAGCTCTCTTATGAGCAATGCGGTTATGGCCAATCCAGGTAAATCCATCAAGTTCAAGTATAAGATTAGATAAATGAGTCTCATTCAAAGAAATAAGGTCTGGCACAAGCGAGAGAAGGAGATGCGTTCTCAGCTAAAAACACTGGCTAAAAACACTGCTAAAAACACTGGTTACCACAGAAATGAAACGACTGAAAACATGGTTTGAAATTAATAAAATGTCACTTAATATCAAGAAAACAAAATGTATTATTTTTGGAAATAAAGATGTCAAATCTGACACTAAAATATTTATTGATACTATTGAAAGAGTAAATGTCTAGGAGTGACTCTTGATAATAAGTTATGTTGGAAACCCCATATCACAAATATAAAATCAAAAATAGCTAAAAGTATTGCAATTCTCTGTAAAGCCAGACATTTCCTGGACCAACATTCTCTGAACATATTGTATGCATCTTTAATTCTGCCTCATTTGAGTTATGGGGCCCAAGTATGGGGACACTCATACAAAACTAACACAGATCCACTATTCAAATTACAGAAAAAAGCTGTGAGAATAATTCATAGAGCAGGCTATTGTGAACACACTAATATGCTTTTTCTCAAATCCAAAATACTAAAGTTCACTGACTTGGTTAACTTCAAAACACTTCAACTATTGTACAAAGCAAGGCATCAACAACTGCCAGAAAACATACAATGTATGTTCACTAATAGAGAAGGTAACTATAATTTAAGGAATACTCAACATTTTAAAAAACACTTTTCCAGGACAAAACTGAAAAAAATGTGTATTACACGATGTGGAGTTGATCTATGGAATAGTCTAAACGATGATTTAAAAAGCTGTGTAAATATCTGTTTTCAAGAGGTTATACAAGCAATTAATTTACAAACAATATGCTGATCAAGGGTAAAACTGAAAGCTCAATTTGAATTAATTTCAATGATCAAACTACATCGAGATCTCTTGTACCAAATGTGATTTAGCCACTGATGATCATTTCAATCATAAAGATAATAATTGCAATTTTATAGTAAACTACAGAAGTAACAGCTCAGAGACCATCACTAATAATTAGTAATCTAACCTTTGTTGTATCTTTTAAACACTCAAATGTATAGAACTCGTCATATATTGTAATGTTACACACAACATATAGAAAAATCAACAACTGTCACACAAAACACTGAATGGAGAAAGGGGTAGGAGTTTATAAGTCCCCACTTCTTCCTACTCCTTTTTGAGCACTTTCAAGCACTCAGCACTGAGGTATGTGCTTATTTGTTACATCATTATTCTGTATATATGTATGTAACAGGTTCATACTAAGATTGCTCAAATAAATAAAAAAAATAAAAAAATGGATCAGCTCCACACACATCACTTGTATTTAAACTTTAGCGAAGACCAGCGAGACACGGCTCATCACTCGCTGCTCTGACCATGTGAATGAGCTGCTTTTTGCTGCTAAAAAGTTTTGGTTTTAACCATAGACTGTATATATTAACGGACAGAGTCACGCCTATCTCCGCCGTTCTAACTAATGGGCCAAAACATTTGCTCTACTGGAGCAATCCAAAATGGCCGCGAGTGGTCCCGCCCACAAGAAAATGGTGAAAAAACGCATCTGCGCATGCGTCAGCTGGCGCAGCTCCATTCATTTGAACGAGAGACTTCAGAAATTCACAGCAAGTAAACTAGAGTGGACCAAAAAAATTCACCCCCCTCAGCATTGACACACATGTGGAACGTAGCTTTGGGCAAAGAGCCAACTTTTGGTCCATCCTGTAAATACGTTTTCGAGAGGTCTGCCAATGCTATATGTTAGCATTGGCTAATTCTTCTTCTGGGTCCACCCCCATCGGCCCGGGGTGGTATTGCAAGCATGTCAGCGCATGTCATTTTGGCCACTTTTGAGCTGGGACCCGCCCCCACTGGTTTTAACCCACAGCACAGAAGAATGGGAAGATTAAAAAAGCAGTTCTGTGCGCAAAGGTGCCGAAGTTATTGCGGGTTTTGGCGCCGCTGTCTCAGCTCTGATCCAGTAGAACCCATATCTGCACTTATGAGAAGTACGGCTCGAAATGGCTGTTATTTCAAATAACGTGGAATATTTTAAACTACGCGGTTAACCGGTTTCAACCGGTTAATGAGGCTCGGTGGTCGGTCATGAAAATTCATAGTTTTTTACACCCCTAGTTTCAATCTGCAAAAGGAGTTAACCCCTCCCACCTGTTCACGGAGCTCAATGGAGCAAATCCAGACCTTACTATGAAATGTAATTTGTACTAAGGTGTGATACAACCAGGCTAGGTCAGATCAACTGCAGACCAAGTTGGGTTTTTTATTACTCCCTTTAAGAAAAAAATCTGCACAATGTTGAATCAATGTATGCAAATAAAACTGTGGTAATGGTCAGAGGAGTTGGGAGAGACTAATGGCAAAAAAGGTTCCAAGATCGCATCAGTCAGTGATTTAATTGTTCTATGTCAACACTCTCTAAACCGTTTTCATCTGATAAAAGTATTGCCCAAAAATAAGTAAATAATTTTGTAATTTCTAAGGTGAAAATATGTTCTTTACAATCTCATGGCTTGGTTGCAGCCAAGGTTCTCTAATAGACAAAGAAAACTATAAGATTGTCAAAAGTGTTGATTACTTTATTTTAGTCTCCAGTACGATTTTATCAATAAATATTTCATTTATTTGTAAAGCACAATTCATGTAAGTAAGTAAGTAAGTAAGTAAGTAAGTAAGCTTTATTTATATACCGCCTTTCACAGACCAGAGTCACAAAGCGGTTTACAATTGTTATTTTTGGGCACTTGTCCTCGCACTCCACACAGAGATGGGAGCGGGGTCGCCGAACAGGAGGCGCATGCCAGACCTATTGTGCATGTTTTTAGTGGTAGGGGAAACCGGAGGAAACCTACGCAGACACGGGGAGAACATGCAAACTCCACTCAGAAAGGCCCTTGTCCGGCCGGGATTCGAACAAAGGACCTTCTTGCTGAGAGGCGAGAGTGCTATCCACTCAGCCACCGTGCCGCCCTGTACAAGTCAATTCAAAGTGCTTCACAAGAGAAATTTAAAAAAACACAGATCAAAATGCATTAAGAAGTCAATAAATATACAATTATTTAATATTAAGATAAAGCAGCATAAAAGTATGGGGTTTAAAACACAAAACATTAGCCCTTAGCAGAGAACCCCCCCCAAAGGACACCCTGGGGAATACAGTCGAACACTTTCTCCTAGTCCAGGGGGAGGCCTTAAAATATGTAGATATCTATTTGCTTATATAGTAAATGTAATTTTCCTTTCAGAAAACGTGGTCATCAAAGCCAGCAGTCTATGGGGGAAGAGCGGCGTGGTGGTGATGGCAGTACGGCGGCCTGGATGATTTCTGTGCAGAGAGGTAAATTACATTATCACTGTGTTCACCTGAAGTTCTAAACTATAACTGTGGTTGTGTGAGCCAGGAAGCCACTGAGCTGTCCTCTCTGAAACCCCAGCTTGAGGAGCGTGGGGTCCCTCTGGTGGCCGTGGTGAAGGAGGACATCGGCACAGAGATACAGGACTTCAAGGCGCACTTCGCTGGGGACATTTATATAGACGAAAAGGTACAATGGAAATGCATAGGAAAATTAAAAACTAAAAATACAACGTCATGTTGTAATACCAATCTATTTAGTTTAGACCTCTTCAATAGGAACATATTCAGAAATGCATGTGATTCTTCCGATTTAGTTTCTGTTTTTGTTTTCTGGCCTCAAATGTTCAGGCCTCTGGTTTAAAAGGCTTTTAATTGAATCTAATTTATATCATAACTTTTGAACATGCAAAAAGTACTACTTATCAGAATCTAATTGCTTGTAGAATTGCTTTTAGGAATATTTTCTTTTTATTTTGTACCATGCAGTTATGTTTATTTTGTGGGCACATTTGGATTACTGTAATGGTTATTTAATGTCCATCCATCCATTTTCTTTCCCTTTTATCCATTTCTGGGTCGGGGGGTGGCAGTCATAGTACATAGTACCAGCCCCTCACTGATCCTCCTGCAGGTGGTGAGTCCACAGGAGCTGAGATCTTTCAGCGGGAGCTTCAGGCAAAGTGGGGTTAAGTGTCTTTCCCAAGGACAAACCACAGCAATTATAAGAGGAGTCGTGAAGTAGGTCTCATGGTGGGCTTGAACCCATGACCTTCAGGCTCAAAGGCCAATGCTCTACCAATTGAGCTACTGTCGCCCGAGGTTATTTAATGTTAGTTCGTTTTTTATTAAATACTAATAATTACTGATGTATATATATATTAGTATTTTAGTTAATAAACTAACATGGTTTTTTAATGTTAGTTAGTTAGTTAGTTTATTAACTAAAATCACACAAACAAAAGAAATGCATAACGCATCACAAACACTATTCATTGGTAGTTTGGTCACTTTTTCTGTTTCTTAACATGCTAAACGTACGTATTCTGAGATGTAATTTCTCTGCTGGTTTGCAAACCTCCAGAAGCACTTCTACGGGCCGATGCAGAGGAGGATGGGGGGTCTGGGCTTCATCCGTCTTGGGGTGTGGCAGAACTTTATCCGCGTCTGGAGGTCTGGTTATGAGGGAAACATGAACGGAGAGGGCTTCATCCTGGGGGGAGTGTTTGTCATCGGGCCAGGAAATCAGGTATAAACATTGTTCCCGTATTAAAAAGATCCATCCATGCGAATATCAGAAACCTTTCAAGAAATCTCAAAACTCTTGCGATATCCAAGAATTTCCAACTTGAGCTGCATGAATTCCCATTTTTCCGATTGGGAAGTCTGATCTCCAGAGATTCCAAGTACGCATTAGTCAGTCACTACAATAGTTGGCAGTGGCGCTTCCATTGTCTGAGTTATAGTCTATGGGAGGTAGGAGCAGTCCTTCTCTAATAGTGGGGGAGCACGCGTGACCTCTGGGAACATGTTTCTTGCTGTATGTCCTTGAACGGGATTCCACATGCTCCGATGCTCCTGTGCCGCAGCGGTCTGATTCTCGGGGCAATTGTGGCCGCTTTGTAGTGAATGACAGCGTTTTCCGCATTCAGCTGCTGTGAAGCTGCTTTGATAACAGCGGCGCACTGCCAAAGCGAAACCATATAGTGACCAGCACTGACAGGAAAAGCGTGGTACTTTGCTCAACCTGTGGACGCAATAAATACACCGCTGCAAGAAATACAGCTGAACTATGTGAGTCTCTGGAAGTGTCCATGTCACCCGTGTCTCCCCCTGTAGCCCTGAAACTAAAACTCACTAAATTAAAGCTGGGGTACCTAAATTTCCCTTCCTTAATACACGCCCAAACGTAAAATTAATAAAATAATTGAGAAGCACTGCACTATGACAACGCGCTCCGAGCAGTTTTCATCTGTTCAATCTTTTTTCATTTCTAAGGTGAAAATTTGTTCCTTACAATCTCATGGCTTTTTTCGCAGCCTGGAATCATTTTTGCATTCAGCTACTCACAATCATTCAACTCCTCCCACGGTGGCTGAGTGGTTAGCACTCTCGCCTCTCAGCAAGAAGGTCCTGGGTTCAAATCCCGGTCGGACCAGGGCCTTTCTGAGTGGAGTTTGCATGTTCTCCCTGTGTCTGCTTAGGTTTCCTCCGGGTACTCCGGTTTCCCCTACCACTAAAAACATGTACAATAGGTCTGGCATGCGCCTCCTGTACTGGCCCCTCCCATCTCTGTGTGGAGTGTGGACAGATGCCCAAAAACAACAATTGTAAACCGTTTGAGACCCTGATCTGCAGTGAAAAGGCGGTATATAAATAAAGATTACTTACTTACTTAACCCTACCTCTGGTGGTAGCATGGAGAATTACAGGCAGAAAGCCCCATTTACCATTTTACTTTTCACATTTTCTTTGATATTATTTCTCAATCTAAAACATTAAATGAAGGTTTGTAGCGGCCAAAAATAATCCACAATATTTTTTCTTTAGATTTTATAGTCCATAATACATGTTTGAAGATAAAACATGCCTTACATGTTTTGATTATGTCACATTTATGTTGCAGGGAATTCTTCTTGAACACAGAGAGCGGGAATTTGGAGACAAGGTTGATATCGTAGACGTCCTAGAGGCTGTGAAGAAAATTGCACCAGAGAATTAAGATTTTAAACCCATTTTTGAAGGGAAATAGATTGTATAATATGTAAGTAATGTTATGATCAACTTGTTGAAAATATCATTATCACCGTATGTTAAGATATTTGTACGACCATCTAGCAATACTACAGAATGCATATTTTCTCAACAACTCTACCTTTTGTGAACTGACTGTCATCCGCTGTGAAAATCCTGAAACGGAATCTGAATCATACCTCAGTGGAGTTGTACTGGTCTTAATTTTTCTTACTTTTATTGAACTATGCTAGATCTAACTATGTTTGATTGATATATATCGTTTGTATGTCTTACGGCTCAAATATCCCAGTTAGTATCACGATGGCAACAAAAGCATGTGTAAGTGTGTTATAATGACAGCCGGACTCTAAACTCGATGTAGAGGAGCCGGTTTGATGATTGGACACACTTGATCATGACTAATTTGCTCCTTTGGGGAAACTGGTGACTGATGTTTGTGTGAGAGTGGTGCTTAGATATCATCGTTCCTACTTGCAGAAATGTGTTAACCGCAAGTATGATCTAAATAAACAGTACAACCACCATGTTTTGACTGCAGTGTTGTGTGTTTTAAAGATGCGTGAACTTATCTTTTTTTGTTTGTGAGAATAGTGAAAGATGCATGACGGATAGTATAACTCTTCACTGACTGATTGACTGACTGATAAGGCAAAAGTACTCATGAAATGCAAGCCAGTACCAAACTTGTTTCATAAATACATTGTGTTTGTACCAACAGAATTAGTATTGTTTAAGTTACAAATCTGACCACATCACGCTATCTTATTGGAAACCCTTTTATCTTTTGTATACTGAGAGCTGATTGGGTAAGTTCAGGGTCCTGCTCTTAAAGATTGTCAGGAATGAACCAGAGAGAGACGGATCGTGGTGCGCCAAACTCTGGAAATTTAAGTTTCTCTCAAGTTCCAGTGGTTTCAATTGTTTCTTTCTCTCAGACAAAATGGAGTCAGTACACAGTTTATATAGTCATTGTCACGTCACACAGAGACAGTGCACATCATAGTCAAAACATGGAGTCATCAGTCCTTGTACAGTCCTGCACGTAGCAGGCCATATTGCTATCTAATACTAACAAGATATAACAGAAGCCAAAAATGCATGTGAAAATTGTTATTCAACTTAACTGTTGTGACAAGTCCTAGGGATTATATTATGTAGTTTATTGTGCTTTCAAAGTCAGGTACTCCAGCTTTCATTTCAGTATGTTCTTAAATATGCCAAGCAATTCATCAAATTATGATGTGTAATGCTTCACGTTTTTTAAGTGATTATTGTACTGTGAGAAACCAAAGTGGAGAGTCTTAAAAGGTGTGTTGCTGTGGTGGGATTTTGTGGCCTTTAGTGGAGTACAAGGTACAAGACATCTAGGGAAGAGTGTAGTTTTAAATTCTGACTGGGCCTTTTGTTTGGAGCTTACATGATTATCCTTGTGTCTGGGTGGGTTACCTCCGGATCTTCCTCACAACATGCAGCAGTAAAAATTTAATAATGATGGTGATCGAAGGGGCCAATGACACACACTGGCAGTTCTATTTCATATGTTGCTTCGCCCTTTAGGCTTCGCTAATGCATATCTCTCGGAAGCATCGCTTCCCACCCTGAGAAGATCAAACGATCCACCCTCCAATCACCTTCACATCCTGGCGTAGGCCAGTCCCCTATAAATAGGGCCATGCACCACAGCTCTTCCCCTTTCAAACTCAGCCGAATAAGAGAGGGCAGGCCTGCTGGGCTCGAAGCTAAAGGGCTTCGCAACATATTAATAGAACCTTAGTTACATTAGGTAACTGGGGTTTCTAATTCATATGTTGCTTCGCCCTTTAGGCTTCGCTAATGCATAACATAGCGAAGCCACTCATTGCTCTGGATAGTGGGGGGCCGCTGGAAAAAGGTCTGAGCCCTAGCTGCGGCCCTGGCTTTTACCGGGTAGCAGCGTGAGGGCAGGACAGCTGTGAGCTGGTGCTCGTGGCGCAGAGAGCGTAGGAGGGTAGCGTGCAGCCGCGCACTCTCTGCCCAAGAGCAGATAACATATTCATAGAACCTTAGTTACATTAGGTAACTGGGGTTTTCAGTTTTAGTCTACCCTTGGGCAGCTGTGGCGATTAGTAGTTTACCACCTCTGACTACACAGTGAATAAATGCATATGTGTTCAAGCTTTCCTTGATGACATGATGCACGGAGGAAGAGAGTTCCGCGTCCCAGAAGTCCAAACCGGTAGTTTGCCTTATTTTCGTCACCTTATAGATTTGTATGCTAGATATTTTGTGTTAATAATTATACAAGTTTTTGCTTTTGTGAATATAATTTGACAATTGTTGAGTTAATGATCACTTTCCCTCAGGTGATAAAAAGGCTAATTCCAAGTTTTATGTTAGGGATGCTTCTAAGTAAGAGCAAAGCCAGGAAGTATTTTCCATATTTTATTCAACTGCTCAGAAAATACACTTTACAAGTAAATATACCAACACAATACAAAAAGGACAAAGTGACACAACTATATGTGGGCATTTTTGAACACATTCCGTAACCAGAACATAGATTGTCTAAACATAGTGACACAAAAGGAAGTTCTGCATAATACAACATGTCTAAGTAACTGTAAAGGATCTGGCATCATTTGGTGGCATTATTTGGATAAATACAGTATGGCCAAACATTCTGTGCATTTCTCATACATAAAAACCATCTTTGGTTCCATGTCATATCCACTTTTTCACCAAAAGTTTATGCCAACAACAATGAATGTGGGTTAAAGAAAATGATTATTGTAAATAATATTGCAGGCTGAATTGGAAATGGAAAGCTTCTATAACACCACAGCATCAGTAATTGTTTCATACATGTCAAATAAGAAGTTTGCAGCTTTGACAACAAAAGGCCATGAAATAATGTTTGGTGTTGCTGCATTTCGTAACAGATGTCCTACACACTATACCATTAAGTATACAACCAGTGTCTCAAATATAATTATTTGTTCATAAAACAGTTATTAAGAGCCTTCTTAATAACATACTGACAGTCATCTCGTCAAACACAATTCTCTTCTTCATTCAAATAGACTATTCAATTGTATACATTATTATGGAGTATGAGTAAAACAATAGCATTGAGCAGAGAACTGTGCCACAAATTAAGGTAGTCTAATACAATATATCCAGTTAAACTTCTAAGACCGGATCATTCAATCCTTCCAAGGTTAATATTGCATTCAATTCAAGCAGCTTTAACAATTAATTTTAATTGAAGGATCAAAACACAGCTGTTATAATATCTAACTTATCTACATGTAATACATTGTTTTTATTTATTTGTATAAATATATTGTATAATTGATCATCAGATACAATACATAAGTGAACTTTCTACATTGCACCATAAGTTCAGTAATATCTAGTGACCTCTTAAAGCCGGGGTATCTAACTTTAAAAAACCCAAAACAAAACGATATACTATAAAATATCTCTAACAGTTTGCTTTAGCTTCTGTCACATCTTTAGATCAGCTTTTTCAGTGAAAAAGAGAGGACCACTTTTGATTAGCAAATCAGCTCACAGCCCAAAGCCTCAAATAGTGATTCACATAGCTCTACAATGTCTAAAAAGATTAATTGTTTCATTTATAAAACAAAAGTTGGGTACCTCATCTTTAAGGGCAGCTATGGCTTTAATGTGCTCATGAAACTAGCTGGTGATGCTCAAAACCCTGTCTCTTCAACAAAATTATTCTTCTAAATGAGCAAACATCTACAAATACACTACATTTCCCTTCACAACATCACTACAATCCACCTACAACAATTGAACATGATAAAGTGACTGCACTGCAGGCCCAAACTAGAGACCTTTGGAGTGCTTTTAAACATATATACTGTAGCATTTACACTCTAGCACCTTATTGTCGGTTTGAACGTGAAACGCAGCATAAGTACACTTTTAAGAAGCTGATTGACTGATCGTGGGGGCGAAAAATGTACTTTTTTCAGTAAAAACAAGAAATTCGACGCACACAAGGCAACATTTTTACATTCAGCACAATGCACACTGCTCAAATTATTAGATCCCCAATTTAAGATCCAAAACTATTAAATACAAATTCAACATTGTTGTTTCTATCAAGGTCTGTAAATCTAATATTGATGGCAGGGAATGCACGACACAAGCCTTCAATTTGGAAATGTGTTGGGTGGGAGACACGAGGCAAAGGCATGTTGTATGGAAGACATAAAACACTCCAGCACATCAAAATCTGCCATATTAAATATATACATCTACTTAAATCAGATTATTTTCGATTGGTCATTATAAGTCAGTATTATTGCAGCAGCTCCATAGGTCACTGACTTAAATGCATACAGGAAAATGGGATATGACCGTCTTTTGTGTGCGTGCGTGCGTGCGTGCGTGCGTGTGCGTGTGCGTGTGCGTGTGTGTGTGTGCGTGTGTGTGTGTGTAAGATCTACAGGCCCTTGTTAAAGTAAACTCGGGTGGTTTCGGGGCTGGTCTCTCGTATCCTCTCTTGAAGCTCCTTCTCCAGCCCACTCACACTTATGGAACTGTAAAAAGAGCACGGGAAAGATTAACACGTGAGGAGCATATAGCACAGACATGACAAATTATTTAAATTAATTTACTAAGATGTGTCAGATGGAAGGATGTAATATATTCACCAATATGGTATCGGATATTGGTGATAATATAGAAAAAAGTTGTTGGATCAAGAAACAAATAGGGTTGAGCCTATACTCTTCAGATTTTGCCATGGTATATGTATCTAGATGCAGTAGACTTTCAATTTGATACAATATATTTTTTAACAATATGATTCAGTAAATAACAAAGCCGTTTGGAGATTAATTAGAAATAAATATCACAATATAAAAACAATCTATAGGTAAGAAAAACCATTTTAATTGCCTTGACAGATATGGGTTCATATTGAAAGTATCGGGATCTTATCAGATTCAGCAGGATCTGTGAATCCCTTGTATTTTACATAAGGGCAGTTAAAATCTTTATTTTTTTGTAAGTCCATAAAACAAATTTTCTGTTTGCTTATATTGACACTTTCTCTACAACAGCCGTTCCCAAACTAAGAAACACCGAGGCCCCCTTAAAAATCTGACGGGTCTGCGTGGCCCCCCAAAATAATAACCAAGAAGACAACATTAAGAATAGGCTCTTCTGGTTATTTTATTTTGGGGAAATAGCCTCTGCTACAAACATTGTAATACAAAAATGATTACAGTGGTGTTCATTATTTATTACAGGAAATAATGAACACAAATATTTTAATATTACAAACAAAACATTATAAATTTAACATTAAATTATTATTTTATTATTTTATTTTTTTTATGACCTCCCGCGGCCCCCCTGCAGTACCCTCGCGGCCCACCAGGGGGCCGCGGACCCCACTTTGGGAGACACTGCTTTACAACATGAACACCAAATATAGCCCAATAGATTGGGCTATATGATACCAAACTATCTTTTTTGGTAATAAAGAGAAGCCAAAAAAATTAAGTAAAAGTTAATGAACATCTTATGCTCTCAAGTAATTATTAGTATATCTTTGTACAAATGGTAAATATATTTTCTATGATTTTTCAGAATCTTGTTGTCATATTTACCATTTGACAGTCTTATCTCTATACAGTAAAGTATCTCTGTAAAGTATATAGTGTACCAATAATTCTCAAACAAGTATCAATTCAAGAAATTGTATCATCAATTTCAAATGTTAGCCTTTCATCCTATACACCTGGTCAGCTATAAATAATGAAGTATCTAATTATAAATTTGCTAAACCTTCTTTTAAATGTATGCATTCGGGCATAGGCCAAAACAAGGTATGAACAAACCTTTTCTGGGGGAACAGGGCGCAGCACAGAGGAGTGGCAAAGACTAAGCTGTAATACAAAACAAGATTTGTTAGATATGCACTTCTGAATGAGTCTGGATGTATGGTCGTCCACTCACCACAGACCCACAAGCGCCACCTGCACAGGAGCATTCAGGACTGGGAAGCGCTGCGGAGAGAATAGTACAGATTAAAACTTCACATTTCAAATAAGTCTGGGAATTGATTTACATTCACTTGATTGGAATTGTGACAATTGTTGTGGCTCCGGCTGGTCAGGCTTGGATTTTGAGATATTGAAAAAAATAGAAGATAAAAAGCCAAACTCATAGCCAAACAAAGAACATGCTAGTTTTGTCACAGGAACACTAAACTGTAAAAGTGCAACTCAAAATCAGCATGAGGAATTTTGACCTTTCATGTAACGGGTAAATCTACAGTGCAATCATCTCACCTTCATGAAAGCTCTCTTTTCCAGGGCATTCATAATAACTGGAGGGATGGCTGTGAACACACAACATAAATTAACAATAGTGACGTATATTACACATTTTTCGTTGCTAAACTAATAAACTGCCACAGAGCAAACAGTACAATACAATACAATTTATTTTTGTATAGCCCTAAATCACAACATCAGTCATCTCAGAGGACTTACCAAAATCATTGAAATCACCGACACAGATCAGAGAATCAACAGTTAAAGCACAAAAAATACACATACAGTGCCTTTGCGAAAGTATTCGGCCCCCTTGAACCTTTCAACATTTCGCCACATTTTAGGCTTCAAACATAAAGATATAAAAATTGAATTTTTGGTCAAGAAACAACAAGTGGGACACAATCGTGAAGTGGAACGAAATGTATTGGATAATTTAAACTTTAACAAATAATCTTAAAAGTGGGGCGTGCAATATTATTCGGCCCCCTTGCGCTAATACTTTGTAGCGCCACCTTTTGCTGCAATTACAGCTGCAAGTCGCTTGGGGTATGTCTCTATCAGTTTTTCACATCGAGAGACTGGAATTCTTTCCCATTCTTCCTTGCAAAACAGCTCGAGCTCAGTGAGGTTGGATGGAGAGCGTTTGTGAACAGCTGTTTTCAGCTTTTTCCACAGATTCTTGATTGGATTCAGGTCTGGACTTTGACTTGGCCATTCTAACACCTGGATACGTCTATTTGTGAACCATTCCATTGTAGATTTGGTTTTATGTTTTGGATCAATGTCCTGTTGGAAGATAAATCTCCGTCCCAGTCTCAGGTCTTTTGCAGACTCCAACGGGTTTTCTTCCAGAATGGTCCTGTATTTGGCTCCATCCATCTTCCCATCAATTTTAGCCATCTTCCACTGCTGAAGAAAAGCAGGCCCAAACCATGATGCTGCCACCACCATGTTTGACAGTGGGGATGGTGTGTTCAGGGTGATGAGCTGTGTTGCTTATACGCCAAACATATTGTTTTGCATTGTGGCAAAAAAGTTCGATTTTGGTTTCATCTGACCAGAGCCCCTTCTTCCACATGTTTGGTGTGTCTCCCAGGTGGCTTGTGGCAAACTTTAAACGGGACCTTTTATGGATATCTTTGAGAAATGGCACTCTTCCAAAAAGGCCAAATTTGTGCAGTGCACGACTGATTGTTGTCCTATGGACAGACTCTCCCACCTCAGCTGTAGTTATCTGCAGTTCATCCAGAGTGATCATGGGCCTCTTGACTGCATCTCTGATCAGTCTTCTTCTTGTTTGAGATGAAAGTTTGGAGGGACGGCCGGGTCTTGGTAGATTTGCAGTGGTCTGATACTCCTTCCATTTCAATATAATTGCTTGCACAGTGCTCCTTGAGATGTTTAAAGCTTGGGAAATCTTTTTGTATCCAAATCCGGCTTTAAACTTCTCCACAACAGTATCTCGGACCTGCCTGGTGTGTTCCTTTGTCTTCATGGTTCTCTCTGCGCTTTAAACAGAACCCTGAGACTATCAAAGAGCAGGTGCATTTATACGGAGACTTGATTACACACAGGTGCATTCTATTTATCATCATCAATCATTTAGGACAACATTGGATCCTTCAAAGATCCTCACTGAACTTCTGGAGTGAGTTTGCTGCACTGAAATTAAGGGGGCCGAATAATATTGCACGCCCCACTTTTCAGTTTTTTATTTGTTAAAAAAGTTTAAATTATCCAATAAATTTCGTTCCACTTCACGATTGTGTCCCACTTGTTGTTGATTCATGACAAAAAATTTAAATTTTATATCTTTATGTTTGAAGCCTGAAATGTGGCGAAATGTTGAAAGGTTCAAGGGGGCCGAATACTTTCGCAAGGCACTGTATGTCTTGGTCCATAGGAATGGACCAAGACATATATGAATGTTGAGAAACGTCCATACATGTTGAAGAATTTTAGAGTGTCCTGGATCATCACCACAGTCCTTCTTTTTAGAGACTAACTGTCCAACCGACCCAATCTATCCCTGTGAGAGAAAAGTGAGAAACCTCGGGGAGATCCACAATCAAGCCTAAAATACCAATCTCACTCAGCAGTGTCGACTAGGGCTGGGCGATATATTGTGATATAGTTTTCAGGCATAAGTAATTCATATCGGTCGATAACGATATTTATTATATGACTTGGACCGTACGCACGCTCCGATTGGCTGATTACCGGTCTGATATTTTCCCATCTCGGACCGTTACCATGACAATTGGTCCGCAGCGCATATCACACAAAACCAAGTCGGACATGAACATACTTCACAAATATCTCAAAAGCATTGGTAAAGACACAGATGAGATAAAACTAGGGCTGTCAAACGATTTTTTTTTTTTAGTTGATTAATCGCATAGTAATGGTGAGTTAACTCACGATTAATCACATTTTTAACATGATTTCAAATCCACTCCAATTGAAGTTAAATGAGATTCTCAAATGTAATGACACATTGTTATTCATACCAAATGTACTTAAATCTGTTTGACTTGCTCACAACTTTCTACTTTTGGGTACAACCAACAAGAGCTGTTAATGAAAGGGAAAATGTAGGTACCCCAGCTTTAATTTTGCGAGTTTGGTTGCATTTCAGCGTGTCTCCTCCTCCGTGTGTCACACAACATCAGAGAATGGCCCCTGTGCGTGTATTATATGCAGTGATGGGAATAACGGCGTTACTAACGCCGTTACTTTTTTCAGTAACGAGTAATCTAACTAGTTACTTTGACTGTAACTATAACGCCGTTATCCTTTCCGACATCCCGTTACTGCGCGTTACTCAAGACGCACAATGAACTTCTCTTTTTACTTCGTTATAGGACTCGTGCGCGTGTAGTCATGAGAGAAGGGAGGATGAGAAAACCTCCCAGCAAATTTTGAAACAAATATGGGTCTTAATCGCGCTCAACCACGGCTTGTATTACCGTGAGGCCAGCCTCAGAGGAGCGCATGTGAGCGCAGAAGTCGGCTGCATACAATTCCATCAAAAAGATCCTTTCTCCTCCTGGTTTATCTGCTAAGGGCAGCAACAAGTTTGGCTAACATACATGTAACACATTTTAAGATAATTTAAAATGTATTTAGGGTAATTTTTCAATGACTTTAGGAATGATAAGAAAGAGAGGTGAAGTGTAAGACGGTTGATTTTAGAAATTGGATGCACCCGGCTGCAGCAAAACAGGAGTTTATGAAGGACACACGCGTTTTGTTTTACTTTTAAAACTCATTGGACTCATTTCCAAATGGAGGATTACATATCTACGCTCAAACTATTATCTGGACTTAAACACGGAACTGCTCTGAACCCAAGTGGACTGTGCAGGTCATTTATAAGGTAAGACCCATAACTCATAGCTTTGCGTTTTGTATGAACAAACAATGCGGGCATGAAACATATTTTGCTGTAGCCAAACAAATTGTGAATAAGCCGCTCTCTAGGTCCAGTTGATATATATAATATATATGTGCATCTGATCGGGCTGAAGTCAGTGCTTCACCGGTGTTTCCACATTCACAGTGGCGGGTGTTGGTGTTCAGTGCTTACAGCACAGAGAGAGATGGAGAGTGAACAGGACTTCAGCAGCAAAACAGCCTTTTCTAGATGGAAATATTGGCACTATTTCAAACTCACTGAGGTTAAAGGTAAAAATGCGCACCTCGAGTGCACATTATGTTCCAGAACAAAACGAAAAAGTAACGCAATAGTTACAGTGCCTTGCGAAAGTATTCGGCCCCCTTGAACCTTTCAACATTTCGCCACATTTCAGTCTTCAAACATAAAGATATAAAATTTAAAAATTTTGTCATGAATCAACAACAAGTGGGACACAATCGTGAAGTGGAACGAAATGTATTGGATAATTTAAACTTTTTTAACAAATAAAAAACTGAAAAGTGGGGCGTGCAATATTATTCGGCCCCTTTACTTTCAGTGCAGCAAACTCACTCCAGAAGTTCAGTGAGGATCTTTGAATGATCCAATGTTGTCCTAAATGACTGATGATGATAAAAAGAATGCACCTGTGTGTAATCAAGTCTCTGTATAAATGCACCTGCTCTTTGATAGTCTCAGGGTTCTGTTTAAAGCGCAGAGAGAACCATGAAGACAAAGGAACACACCAGGCAGGTCCGAGATACTGTTGTGGAGAAGTTTAAAGCCGGATTTGGATACAAAAGATTTCCCAAGCTTTAAACATCTCAAGGAGCACTGTGCAAGCAATTATATTGAAATGGAAGGAGTATCAGACCACTGCAAATCTACCAAGACCCGGCCGTCCCTCCAAACTTTCATCTCAAACAAGGAGAAGACTGATCAGAGATGCAGCCAAGAGGCCCATGATCGCTCTGGATGAACTGCAGATAACTACAGCTGAGGTGGGAGAGTCTGTCCATGGGACAACAATCAGTCGTGCACTGCACAAATCTGGCCTTTATGGAGGAGTGGCCATTTCTCAAAGATATCCATAAAAAGTCTCTTAAAGTTTGCCACAAGCCACCTGGAAGACACACCAAACATGTGGAAGAAGGTGCTCTGGTCAGATGAAACCAGAATCGAACTTTTTGGCCACAATGCAAAACGATATGTTTGGCGTAAAAGCAACACAGCTCATCACCCTGAACACACCATCCCCACCTCAGCTGTAGTTATCTGCAGTTCATCCAGAGTGATCATGGGCCTCTTGGCTGCCTCTCTGATCAGTCTTCTCCTTGTTTGAGATGAAAGTTTGGAGGGACGGCCGGGTCTTGGTAGACACACCAGGCAGTCTGGGGCTTCATGCTCCTGGTAGGGTCTCCCATGGCAGACAGGTCTCAGGTGACGAGTCAGACAAAGCGCAGTCCGAAGCCAACCATGGACAGCACTACTACAAAACCAGTGACGTCGCCCAGCGTCAGCCGGGGCCCCACCCTGGTTGGGGCTCGCAAGCGAGCGCCTGGTGGCCGGGCCTTAGCCCACGGGGCCCGCCCGGGCTCAGCCTGAAAGGTTGACGTGGGCAGTCCCTCCTGTGGGCCCACCACCTGCAGAGGGGTCCGTGGTGGAGAGGTGCAGCGAGGACTGGGCAGCAGTCGAAGGCGGAGACCTCGACGACCCAGTCTGCACGTGCAACATCTGGCTCTTGGGATGTGGAACGTCACCTCAGTGGGCGGAAAGGAGCCCGAGCTTGTGGGGGAGGTTGAGCGATACCGACTAGAGATAGTCGGCCTCACCTCCACACACAGCTTGGGCTCTGGAACCCGACTCCTTGAGAGGGGTTGGATGCTCCACTTTTCTGGTGTTTCTCGCGGGGAGAGGCGGCGAGCTGGGGTGGCCATACTCATTGCCCCCCCATCTCAGCTGCCACGTGTTTGAGTTCTCCCCGGTGAATGAGAGGGTCGCGTCCCTCCGCCTCCGGGTGGGGGACAAGTCTCTTACTGTTGTGACGGCCTACGGGCCTAACGGCAGTGCAGAGTACCCGGCCTTCTTGGAGTCCTTGGGAAGGGTACTGGACAGTGCACCGCCCGGGGACTCTGTTATTCTCCTGGGGGACTTCAACGCCCATGTGGGAAATGCCAGTGACACTTGGAGAACTGAACCCGAGCGGTGTTCAGTTGTTGTTCTGTGCCAGTCACAGTTTGTCCATCACAAACACCATGTTCGAGCACAAGGGTGTAAACCAGTGCACGTGGCACCAGGACATCCTAGGCCGGAGGTCGATGATCGACGTTGTTGTCGTATCATCTGACCTTTGACCGCGTGTCTTGGACACTCGGGTGAAGAGAGGGGCGGAGCTGTCAACCAATCACCACCTGGTCGTGAGTTGGATCTGCTGGCAGGGGAGGAAGCCGGTCAGACCTGGCAGACCCAAGCATGTAGTGAGGGTCTGCTGGGAACATCTTGCTGAGCCCCCTGTCAGGCGGACTTTCAACTCACACCTCCAGAAGAGCTTCTCCCAGGTCCCGGCGGAGGTGGGGGACATTGAGTCTGAGTGGACCATGTTCTCTTCCTCTATTGCTGATGCGGCGGCTCGTAGCTGTGGTCGCAAGGTCTCTGAACCCGGTGGTGGACACCGGCAGTAAGGGATGCAGTCAGGCTGAAGAAGGAGTCCTATCGAGCAATGATGGTTCGTGGGACTCCTGAGGCAGCTGTCCAGTACCGGCAGGCCAAGCATGCCGCGGCTTGGGCTGTTGCAGAGGCAAAAACCCGGCATTGGGAGGAGTTCGGAGAGTCCATGGAGCATGACTATCGGTCAGCCTCGAAGAGATTGTGGTAAACCGTTTGGCGCCTCAGGAGGGGGAAGCAGGTCTTTGCAAACACCGTGTATGGTGCGGGTGGAGAGCTGCTGACTTCGACTGGGGATATTGTCGGGCGGTGGAAGGAATACTTCGAGGTTCTACTCAATCCCCCCCGTCACGTCCTCCGTCCAGGAGGCAGAGGCTGAGGATGCTGGGGCGGATACTTCCATCTCCCTGGCTGAGGTCACCAAGGTGGTTGGCAGCCTCCATGGTGGCAAGGCGCTGGGAGTGGATAAGATCCGTCCTGATTATCTAAAGTATCTGGATGTTGTAGGACTGTCTTGGCTGACACGTCTCTGCAACATCGCGTGGCAATCGGGGGCGGTGGCATAGGAGTGGCAGCCTGGGGTGGTGGTCCCTCTCTACAAGAAGGGGGATCGGAGGGTGTGTTCCAATTATCGTGGGATCACACTCCTCAGCCTCCCCGGTGAGGTCTACTCCAAGGTACTGAAGAGGAGGCTACGGCCAATGGTCGAATCTCTGATTCAGGAGGAGCAGTGTGGTTTTTGTCCCGGTCTCGGAACACTGGACCAGCTCTATACTCTCCATCGGATACTCGAGGGTTCATGGGAGTTTGCCCAACCAGTCCACATGTGCTTTGTGGATTTGGATAAGGCGTTTCACCGTGTTCCCCGGGCTGTCCTTTGGGGGGGTTCTCCGGGAGTACGGAGTCCGGGGTCCTCTGTTGAGGGCCGTCTGGTCCCTGTATGACCAGAGCCAGAGCTGCGTTCGCATTGCCGGCAGTAAGTCAGACCTGTTCCCGGTGCATGTTGGCCTCCGCCAAGGCTGCCCTTTGTCACCGGTTCTGTTCACTGTGTTTATGGACAGAATTTCTAGGCGCAACCAGGGGCCGGAGGGGGTCCGGTTTGGGGACCACAGGATTTCATCTCTGCTTTTTGCGGATGATGTCGTCCTGCTGGCTCCAACGAAGCTCCAACTGAAGCGGCTGGGATGAGAATCAGCACCTCCAAATCCGAGGCCATGGTGCTCGACCGGAAAAAGGTGCCTTGCCGTCTCCAGGTGGGTGGAGAGGTCCTTCCTCAAGTGGAGGAGTTCAAGTATCTCTGGGTCTTGTTCACAAGTGAGGGAAGGATGGAGCGCAAGATTGACAGGCGGATCGGTGCAGCGTGCGCAGTGATGCGGTATTGGACCGTCGTGGTGAAGAGGGAGCTGAGCCGAAAGGCGAAGCTCTCGATTTACCGGTCAATCTTCGTTCCCTCCCTCACCTATGGTCATGAGCTGTGGGTAATGACCGAAAGAACGAGATCGCGGATACAAGCGGTCAAAATGAGCTTTCTCCGCAGAGTGGCTGGGCGCTCCCTTAGAGATAGGGTGAGGAGCTCGGTCACACGGGAGGACCTCGGAGTAGAGCCGCTGCTTCTACACGTCGAGAGGAACCAGTTGAGGTGGTTCGGGCATCTGTTCCGGATGCCTCCTGGACGCCTCCCTGGGGAGGTGTTCCGGGTATGTCCCACCGGGAGGAGGCCCCGGGGAAGACCCAGGACACGCTGGAGAGACTATGTCTCTCAGCTGGCCTGGGAACGCCTTGGTGTCCCCCCCGGACGAGCTGGAGGAAGTGTGTGTGGATAGGGAAGTCTGGGCGTCTCTGCTTAGACTGCTGCCCCCGCGACCCGGCAACGGATAAAGCGGAAGAAAATGGATGGATAGATGGATGAAATCTTTCAAGCTCATCATACCACTGATGATTATCTTATTTGTGTTGCCGAATTCAACGGTTTTGTGAAGTCCTCCGAGATAACTACTGTTGTAATTTAGGGCTATACAATAATATATTTAATTGAATTTCATTCTTATTAACAGTTGTTATACCCATGGCTGGGACGGCCATTCCGATCCTGGACACCACCACCTGAGCGATGGCCTGCTGGGCTGCATTGACAGACTCCCCTAACTTGTTTCCATTCTCATCTGTGACAGGAATTCCAAACTTCAACTCCCTGGGATCATAACGTACACAACACAAAACTTATTATTATTACTATTATGAGAGTGTTATTTAGAAATGACTTCAAATATTTAATATCAGGATCTCACCTTTGTCTCATGAAAGGGATGTTGATACAGTTTGCAGCTGCAACAGCAGCAAAGGGCACGAAGCGGCTGGCAATAGGAGGCAGACGCTGTAGTGAGAATGAAAAATGGTCAGTATTACAAAATCTTTCACTATAGTGATGGTGTTCAGGGTGTTACCGAGGCTAAGGCCTTCAGGCTCAGGGCAGTGACCACAGCTCCAGTCGTGGCACTCACATAAGCTGCACCCAGCTGACTGGAAACACATTTTTTACACATTGTTAGAGGCATTCATATTAAGTCTGCAACACTGAGATGTGCTTAGAGAATTTAGGACTGTACTTTCAACAATGTAAATAGCTACATGGACATACTTGACAGTCATCGGGGCGTCACCACTGCGGTTGGTGTAGTTGACAACAGCATTGAAAGACTGGTTCACCCACTGCCAAAATACCACGGCTGGTGTGGTCCTGAAACATGAAAACAGAAAAACTCAAACATTAGTGAAAAGTCATTTCACAAACACGGTAAACAAATGGAGCAATATTAACATTTTTTTGTTGAAATATTCTACTATTCACACACAACTGTTTATTTCTTAAATTTAGCCGCACTCTGTGGCCATGTGGTTTACTACATTTTTGATTAGATTGAACTAATAGATATCGTAAGTGTTTAAGCGCTATTCAAGTAATCACCCAGTGGTTCCCACCGCCGGGGTCTCGAGATGATGATATTTTGCAATTGATTTGATTCAATAGGACTACTTGCTAAAATATGTTTGGGGAAGAGTCTGATAAAAATATATTTTGATAAAATTTGTAATTTTGTCCCACACATGAGATTACGACAGCGTCAAAATCAAGTTACGTAGCTCATATCACACGCAGCGAGAAAATGTGTCCTGCTGTTTTTTGTTAGCCTGACCTTAGCCATCCGTATAATCTGGTCAATTATTAGATAGATAGATGGATAATTTATTAATCCCCCGAAGGATAAATTCAGGTGTCCAGTAGCAGCAAAAATAAAAAATAAAATTGATCATTCTAAAAAGCAAACAATAGTAATAATAAGCAACAGCCCTTCAGGTCATAGCAGCAGAGGTGTAACATCCGCTGGGAGGAGCAGCACAGGTCACAAGGTGGAGTAGCCGTTTGGTTCATACCATTTTCTCTGCTCTAGTCCAAAGTAAATGGCTGAATGCTTAATTAGCATTTTTCCAAAAGTTAGCATTCCTCCAATGGATTTTTGCCCGATACGCTTGGCTCGAACCATGAATTCTCTCTGCTCCGGTCCGGACCAGTGTAAACCATGAACACTGTACTGTAGCAACATCAGGCTGACGACGATGAGTGTGAGCTTGATGATGTCGGAGTAGGCCAGAGTAGAGTCCCCCCATTAGAGTGTTGGTGACGGCCACAGCCGCAGAGATCCAGATGCTGGCTCCGTAGGACAGATCCAGGACTAGGCTCACCGTGGCTCTTCAGGCCACAGCAGCAGAGATGATGCAGCCCTCTGCATCGAGCAGGACGGGTCACAGCAGCAAAGATGGTCCAGCCTCCGGGTGGAGCAGGATGCGTCACAGCAGCAGAGATGGTGGAGCCTCTGGCTGGAGCAGGACGGGTCACAGCAGCAGAGATGGTCCAGCCACCGGGCAGAGCAGGATGCGTCACAGCAGCAGAGATGGTGGAGCCTCTGGGTGGAGCAGGACAGGTCACAGCAGCAGAGATGGTCTAGCCTCTGGGTGGAGCAGGATGCGTCACAGCAGCAGAGATGGTGGAGCCTCTGGGTGGAGCAGGACGGGTCACAGCAGCAGAGATGGTCCAGCCACCGGGCAGAGCAGGATGCGTCACAGCAGCAGAGATGGTCCAGCCACCGGGCAGAGCAGGATGCGTCACAGCAGCAGAGATGGTGGAGCCTCTGGGTGGAGCAGGACGGGTCAAAATAGCAGGGATAGTTGGGCCCCTGTGTGGAGCAAGACAGGTCACAGCAGCAGAGGTGGAGCCGCTTGGTTCGTATCATTTTCTCTGCCCTCTGATTTTCCAGCCCAAACTCGCGAGAATGCCCCCCAAAAAACAAAAAACAAAAAACAACCCAGAAGGATTTTGTGGCTAAAAACGTAATGTAATAAACTTGGGCTATCATGATTCTGTTTATTGTCTTTTTGTTTATTTATTACCTATAAGTCTCTAGGAAAAAAATTTATGCAGGAAACCACCAACCTGGCAACCCTGGCAGTGTTGTAAACAGGAACACTTAAACCAGTACTTAAACCAGAACATTTGACACTTAAAACACACATATAACAACATGGAACCATCTCGCCTCATATTGCATTGAAAGTGACATCCGTGTCTTAACTTCTCCCCAAGGTTTCTCACTTTTGCCCACTGGGTTTTTTAAGAGTTTTTCCTTGTCGATGCAGGTCGGTCTTGTTGGACAGTTAGTGTCCAACAGAAAGGATTGGTGATGATCAGGACACTTTAGCATTCTACAACATGTATGGACATTTTCTTCTGTGTGTGCTTTATATTTTTCATGTGTTTTAACTGTTGATTCTCTGATCTGTGTTGGTGATTTCAATGGTTTTGTTAAGCCCTCTGAGATGACTTCTGTTGTGACCTAGGGCTATACAAGAATAAATTGTATTGTGTATTGTATTAACTTGTTCACATTTAAACTTTTTAAATATTCACAGACTTTACGTCCGCCATCTTGGATTGCTTTCGCTGCCGCGTGAGACACGCTTGAGAATTGGCCGATTATTTTCTGACCTCCTGAAGGAGTTTGCTATGCGCTCGATCCCAGACCATTGTATTCAGCCAAACGCCTCTGGTGGAGCATAGCGGAACTACAAGGGTCTGGCGAGAGTCAGGCTATTTCTCCAGTAGGCGGCTGCATATATGAAAAAAACGCACCTAACCCCAAAAAATATTCTAACAAAAAGGTTTTTTGGATGTTTTTTGTAGTATTAGGTGTCCTTAATAACATACTAAAAGTTTACCAACATTTGACCACTAGAAAGGTATAATTTTCAAGATGGCGTCCAAGATGGGCAGGAAGCCTATAACATATCCATACTCCATTATTTGACCTAGCCCAGGGGTTAAAGCAAAAAAAAAAAATTTGACTGAAAATTTTTGCATGGAAATTTATCACATGTAAATCACAGTAATATGCAAGACCAAGTTATATTTTTTATTACAATATATTATTGTATAATAGATTGTATATTGCAGCCATTCCCAAACTCAGTAACACCAAGGCCCCCTTAAAAATCTGACGGGTCTGCGTGGCCCCCCAAAATAATAACCAAGAAGACAACATTAAGAATAGGCTCTTCTGGTTATTTTATTTTGGGGAAATAGCCTTTGCTACAAACATTGTAATACAAAAATGATTACAGTGGATTATTCAAGTCAAATAATTAACACAAATATTTTAATATTACAAACAAAACATTATAAATTTAACATTAAATAATTATATAATTTTTTTATTTTTTTTATGATGACCTCCCGCGGCCCCCCTGCAGTACCCACTTTGGGAGACACTGGTATATTGAATACAGCTCAAATGAATTCTTCAAAGATATACAGTGTATTTTGATATGAAATATAAGTGGATCAAGCAACGAGTCAACTTTTTGACAGAATATTAGTGAGAGTAGCTTTACTTGAGGCGATATGGAGCGTCAACACTTTGGCTCTGTCCTCGTCAAAATATCGCAAAAGGACGATACAATTCTGTCCACATTTGTTTGTGGACACGTCAATATTTAAGAAAAAGGTTTCCCTATCAAGTTTGAGTGCACAGTGCACTTTGATCAACTGCAAATGATTTAAATAAATCTACCAGCGGTAGTGATATTCTGAACGTTATTTTTTGCGATAAAGCCACAGACACGGTCCGCCAGAGCAAGCCTAGTGTCAGTTGTTGCTGATGCACCAGGTAAAGATGAAGTGTGGGAAAGTGCACAAACAGCTGCCTTGTGCGCAGTTTTGAGCTGGTGGCGAATCAAAACTTTTTTTCTCATTACTCCCATATATGCAATTTTTTATGGCAAAGTACGCACAAGCACCGGCCACTTTCATCTTTTCGCACCATGACCTGTTGATTGGCTCTTTTACATCACGCTGAGTTTTGCAAGAAGATTGCAAACAAGACAATATCAAAAGCTCACCAAGACATGTTTGTCCCCATTCCCAGTTGCAGCAAAGTCCGTTTTGTACATTCCGTTAAGTAAATAGCATTGCGTTTGGTAAACGTTAATTACCTTTAGTCTATTACGCGCCCAGCTTACCAGTCCGCGGATCTGCTGCTGTTATTGCTCCGTTCGAGATTCAATTTTCCTCCTCTTCTCCTTTTCAAAAGCTCCGTGCAGTTTCCAGAAACTTTCACCTCCGTGTTACCAATGCTAACTTCATCGCGTCTTCATTTGCGCGTGAGCTCAGCTACGTCCCATTGCCTTGATTCATTACCGAGGTGAAGTTGGCCGAACGTTTGATATTCGCCTGATATTCGCAAGGGACCGTCTGCAAATTGCAAGAGGTCAAAACGACTAATAAAGACTAAAAATCAACAAAGATATTTTTCCCAGAATTGATGGGTGTAGTAGCTCCCATTTAATGATAGCTAGCTACTACAGCCAAACTTTTGGGAAAAATATGGTTTTCCCCTTCACAGTAACAAAAATGAAATTGGAAAAATTTACTAAAAATCAACAAAGACAGTTTTCCCAGTTTTGATGGGTGTAGTAGCTCCCAATGAACAATAGCTAGCTACTACAGGCAAGAATTTGGGAAAAATATGGTTTTCCCCTTCACAGTAACAAAAATGAAATTGGAAAAATGTACTAAAAATCAACAAAGACTTTTCCCCCAGATTTGATGGGTGTAGTAGCTCCCATTCAATGATAGCTAGCTACTACAGCCAAACTTTTGGGAAAAATATGGTTTTCCCCTTCACAGTAACAAAAATGAAATTGGAAAAATGTACTAAAAATCAACAAAGACTTTTCCCCCAGATTTGATGGGTGTAGTAGCTCCCATTCAATGATAGCTAGCTACTACAGCCAAACTTTTGGGAAAAATATGGTTTTCCCCTTCACAGTAACAAAAATGAAATTGGAAAAATTTACTAAAAATCAACAAAGACAGTTTTCCCAGTTTTGATGGGTGTAGTAGCTCCATTTGAGCAATAGCTAGCTACTACAGGCAAGAATTTGGGAAAAATATTGTTTTCCCCTTCACAGTAACGAAAATGAAATTGGAAAAATTTACTAAAAATCAACAAAGACAGTTTTCCCAGTTTTGATGGGTGTAGTAGCTCCATTTGAGCAATAGCTAGCTACTACAGGCAAGAATTTGGGAAAAATATTGTTTTCCCCTTCACAGTAACAAAAATGAAATTGGAAAAATTTACTAAAAATCAACAAAGACAGTTTTCCCAGTTTTGATGGGTGTAGTAGCTCCATTTGAGCAATAGCTAGCTACTACAGGCAAGAATTTGGGAAAAATATTGTTTTCCCCTTCACAGTAACGAAAATGAAATTGGAAAAATTTACTAAAAATCAACAAAGACTTTTTCCCAGTTTTGATGGGTGTAGTAGCTCCCATTCAATGA